CAACAGAGTACTGCTTTGTCCTATCAAGAAAAGTGCAACGGCACAGTTCTGGGATCACTACATCTTGATTTATCAGTATCTTACTTTGCATTTAGTAACCAACTCTGGGGCACCTTGAGTACAGAAGTTGCAATATAATATTAAACTTAATTCTCTACAGAGCTTAGATGCTGTTAGGGTCTGTCGCAAAAACTTCAGCAGATTGTAAGAAGTGAATCTTACCCTGGTATACTAACACTGCCTTTGTATCCCGTAACTCCTTCTTGATGGAAGGATTATACACTCAACCATGATGACTCCCAATAAGACAAACCAGTCTAATGTATTAATTTGGCTCCATGCATGCGTACTAAAGCCACATGCCAATATCTACATAATACTGTTGCTCTTTAAAATTATGTCCAAGTGCACATTTTGAACCAAGTCACTTGTTTAGATTCCACCTTCCTCACCTCAGCATGGATTAATAGCTATAATTAAATTAAATATAACACATCACTTAAAGTAAAACTAATTTGGGGGATAAAATATATCAAGCATTTCTTTCTCTTTTTAGGATATTCTGTATCAGAATCCCAAAAGAGCCACACGCGCACACACAAATTGTTTCCAACTATTTAAAAAAAAAATTTGGAACCTAATTCCAGTCCAATAGTCTCCTCTGAGATCAGTATATCATCCATGGAAGGTCAACAAGCAGAACAAATGCAGAATATGCTATAGAGGACACTCAGTGAAGACTTCAGAGGAAAAAATATATCCCAAATTTCCTTCTCTGCCACCAAACAAATGTGTAGGTTAAAGTTTGTTTTCTAAACATAATGGAAATATTGTGGGAGGGAGAAGGAATCTTAGCTGCTGTGTCAGTGTCAAAGTCTCTGCTCCAATTATTAATCAAGAGGGTGCAGATTTGGAAATCTGACATCTCAGCTGGCATTAGTTGTTTAAAAATAGACTATTAAGCCCTCTGGAGATATTATCTTTATAATGAGTCTGATTAGTACTAGGGAAAAAGGAAGCTGAGAAGGAAATTCAAGTATAGTAACAAACACCTGGAAACTCTCTTGAGAATGTTGTATTAGGCTCACTGCAATACAGCTCGTCTTATGTAACACAGAATTCATTATGACAGGAAAACCATTTTGGTTTAAGTAGCTATTACACCTCTTCATGTTTATTTTCAACTTTCACCTGCACCAGGAAACCTTTAAGGAAAGCTGCAGCATGACTGGCACAAAGCATACTCTCAACAATGGTAATACAGGGCCTGATTCAAAGCACAAAGAAGTCAATGAAATTAGCTATGGTTACTATTGTGTTGCACAAAAACATTACCTGAAGTATTTTACTCCTGTGCAAAATATGAAGCCTGAAAGCAAATTCAGACATGAAACCTATCAACTCCCAAATGTATCTGAAGGCCTCACTACTTCCCTTTATGTTCATTCAGTATAGCCCAGAGCTGGAAAGTCAAGTACATATATACTCTTTACCAACAGGTTTTGAAAACATAATTTAAGCTTATGAATATATCTCCAACTTTCTAAGTAGGAAAGGTTAGAAGTAAATGAATTGCTTCCAGTTTTAATGCTGTTACCGACAAGAGTAGCTATTTTGAAGGCAACTGCAAAGCCTGATTTACTGTGGATGGTGATGATAGAAAAACTTTCTGACTATGGAAGTGTGTGTGTGTGTGTGTGTGTGTGTGTGTGTGTGTGTGTGTGTGTGTGTGTGTGTGTCTTTCTGTTGGAAAGGATGGGACTCTTAAACTAAGTTCATATTGCAGTTATCAGTGATCGTCTCATGTTAATGTCCCAGGTTGTACAGTCTCCCTTGCAGGCAAAAAGTTAGTACAAGCTATAAACACATATCGGCAATGATTTGTCTTCAATTGAAGTCAATGGGAACTTTGCCATTGACTTCAGTATGAGCAGCAGAAGGTCCACAGGCAGGAAAAAGGACCTCTAAATGAGATGAGAATCTTTCTGAAGTAATGAGAGCTGCAAAGAAATTCTATCAAAGGCCAAAACTCCCACTTACTTCAAGAGGAGCAAGACACGACCCTATATGTTATGTATTTCTCTCCTTCTCTTCTTGTATGACTGTTTTTCTAGAAGCTCATTCACTGTTAATCTATCAAGATATATATCCACTGTGGTTTATAGAGTACTGTAAGTGCATTCTTATGTGTTTCTTATTTTGCAGTTAATAGGTTGAGAAAATAATTCTTACTATTGTTGATTAGGAAACCCCTGTCCTCGTACTAAAAGATAAAAAAAATACTGAAGAAAAACTTGTGGTTTCAAGAATGAAATTAGTCATGTTCCAATTATTTAAGCTCAGATACAGTTATATAATATTCACTCTATAACACTTTAAGCCAATTGTGATTGGTAAAACTCAATATATAAATCTCTTTACAACAAACCCGCCTGCCCATTTTGCCAAATTATCCAACAAAGTCTTTAAAAGACTTCATTGTTTTTCTAAAGTAAATTTTTCATTAAAGAAACTTAAATATTCAAGACACATACAGAAAAAGTTTTCAAAACAATATTCAGTTTATGTGTGCTGTGCCACATTACACAGGTGACTATCGTTTTTCAACAGAGATCAAATTTCCGGAAGTTATTTAACAGACTCTGCACCCCCTTAAATGAAAAAAAGATTTGGCATCAATGTCCAGTTTTGCAGAGATTTTGGGATGTAACACTAACCTAACAGTTCTAACTCACAGCACTAGCACGTGAAACTCACCACTCTCAAATGGCTAATGGATGTTTATAAAGGTTCCATATATGCCATATCTGTTCTACCCAGATTTCATTAAAAGGAAGCTGCTTAAAATAAAATGTAATTTTGTTTCTTTAGCACCTAAACTTCCTGAACAGAACATACCAAAGTATCCCATGATAACAAAACTAGAAGTTCAGTGTAAAGATTTTTAGATTGTATTTTAGGCAGCTACTTTAAAACTTAATACTTAGGAACTGATTCTGCTCCTAGTGAAGTTATTGGGAGCTTTGCCATTGCCTCCAATGACAGCAGGACCAAGCACTCAACTAGCAAATCTTCCAAAAACAAAGCTAATATTCTTATAATCCTAAGGTTACCATTTTATATTATGGAACATTTTCTGTAAGTCACAGAACACCTTCAGTTACGAAAATAAACCACAAATGGATGCCAGTGCACTGGACAACATTACCCAGGCAGAACAGCATTTTTGGAAAGTATTAATTCAGATCAGACGATTGAACCATTAAGCAAAATATATTTTAATGGGTACAAAGGTCAAGATACTGCAAAGTGGCAGTTATATAACTTTTTTGACAAATAATTTTTCATGTATAGTTAGAAGTGCCAGCAATGTTGGCCAATTTGTTTTTAAACAGGATACTTATCTCCTTCCCAGTCCATACATTTCATTAATACACATTTACCATGTTGCCTTTGCTACTAGAATGTTTTATGTCTGTATGTCACCATTCAGGGCCCAAACCAGTTCCCTTAACCAAATAAAACTGAAATTAAGGTTAAGACTGCAGAATTTGGTCCATAACATTACTAGGAAAGTTCAGCCTAACCCTTGAAGAGCTCCTTCTCAGATGTTAGTTTCAGGAATGCTGCTGTTTTCTCAACAGCTCATTGGACCCCCAAATAATGGAAGCAAAACACACTAATAATTTAGTTAACTTCTTATTATCCTTTCAGCAACTTCAACATTTTGTTTACTATAGACTATTAATGAAGATCACAGGAATAGCTTTGATTTACATAACGAAGTAAAATGTTTATTTGGGGCTGATTTTTGTGTGTATAGTTTGTTTGTGAAGCAACTCGCTTTATAAAAAAAAAAGTTAGGTAGAAAAACAAGTCTGTAAGCAAAACCTCCATTTGAACTCAATTCCCACCCACATAATCTGAAAGACATTTTTGATGTAAAGCACAATGCTTTGTGACATTTTTGAACTATGTATTAACGGGCCATCACCTCATCCATAAGAGAAGAGATAGCTGCACAGTGTGGTTCCATATCTAGTTTAGTTTGAGATCAAGTGTAAGGAAATCTGGCTGGGAATAGACCTAGTTCTCTACCCAGTTCACAAACTTCCTCCGCACATTTAAGCACTTTTCAGTCACTGGCACATGAAAAAGCATGTAGGTCTTGTAATTGCATCAAATAATTTGCAGGCAGTCCAACGTGGCCTTGCTAGCTGAAGCATTTGCGGGTCCCTTCGCTCCCCAATAGGCACAAAGTGCAAAGAAAAAAATAAATTTAAACTCTTTTAAAGAACAAACAGCACATCGGGGATTTAGTTGAAGGGTATTATAATTTGTCTTTCGGCTGCAGTAGAACCCCGTTGTCAGCAGGGGGCGCTCCTGCATGAAGCAAAACAAGGCTAACGTTGTTCCGCTGACTATAAACTCAAGGGCCCGCTCAATAGCGCTTACAGTACGTCTGAAGTGGTAGCTACTAAACAGTAAGACTGTCAATAAATCGTACAAGCTTTGAACATGTTGTGAGTCATAATATAAAAATAATCCTTATAGCCTATATTGCAGATTATTAATTTGTTGGATTTTTCCGGGGGGTGGCGAGGGCAGGAGGCACAAACCTAAGCATCCCTAAATCCAACCCCCCTCTCATTAAATGCATTTATCCATAGGTTTTCATGGATTTTTTTTCACTCCCCAAAATCTGCATGCAGGTTTGGACTGGTAACATTTGCTGTAGCAGATAGGCAAAGGCGGTGTCTTGTAATGCCAAAGAGGAGAACAAGTCCTTAATAGGTTGACAATGCACACAAAGAACAGCAGGAGATTTTGGGGGTGGAGTGGGGGATGGGGAGTACAGTTGGTTGATCACCGGTCGGGGAGTACCAGCCATTGCACAATGTAGCCAGATGAGAAATAATCAGACATTTCTCCCCCAACCCCCAAGCTTATTACCACAATCTTCAGGAGAGAGAGAGGGGGTAAAAAAACTAAATACTCACCATATTGACTTCTGATACCATGTCTATGCTGGCAATGTCTATGTTCATGCCAACAGCCACTGGGGGACCTGCAAACCAACGAGATGGTCCGCAATGTGATCTCTAAGAACTTAACTCATTCTTACCAGAGTTATCAAGACTAATCAAAGGGCGATATGGCACGAGTGTTGGTAACAACAAAACAGGCTCTCCTTTGATACCTGGAAAACCCTCCGTTTGCAGAGTATTCACCCTTTGCCTCCGCCGTCAGCTGTAGGGACATTTTATGTAACATGCACACACGTGTTAATAACGGGGGCTCTATAGACACTGGCTATATAGATAGACACACACAAATCGATTATTGTATGAACCAGTTCGAATCGGTACGTGGGGGAGGGGGAGAAAAGATTGGACTGCACATTTTAACTCTTTCTACTCGACACATGCGACATGCAAACTGAGAAAAAAGAATCTCACCTGAGATTCAAATGATTTATACCCGGCTCTTAAGATTGCTTTCTGGAGTAGTACACACACATTCACGCACACAACTAGTTCAAAGTTGCAGCAAACATTGGGTTAAGTGACATTTTCTGTATCAGTTAACAGCATATCTTGTACTCAAAAATAGTAACTGTGGTCACAGACACATTAGGCTCACTAGAACAAACGCTGGATAAACTTAAGAGATTTGCATCTCAATAAAGCCAATTAACCGAGGGTTTAATTATGGGGTAATAAGTTATCCGCACACACTCTCACAAATGAGACCGATTACAAATATACAGGAGATTTCAGTGATCGCATTAAGAGCATCCAGTGCTAAGAAAATTGAGTAACAATTGGCTTAACTTTGGGTCAGCTTGAGAAAATGGCAACATACACACCAAAGCGGCAGCACCCACAACACGTTGAAAAACACACACAGAGGATACACAGTCTGGGTATGTAACAGCTCTCATTCAAAAAGCAATCAAATTACCTCCAAAATCTGGCCTCAGGCGAATGTCATAGCCTTTCAGCAGTCTATCCACGGTCTCTTTTACCAGCGACATATTGCTAGGGTCATTGACACTAAAAAACAATAATACATATTTCTTATTTCTCAGATCCAATCTCCCCATTCGGGGAACAGTGGCAAACAGGGCAATTCAAAGTGAAGGAAAAGAGATGTCTCGCTCACTTACCTCTGTGCACACACCATTGCTATTATTAAGAAGAATGACCAAATCCCAACGTAGCCCCTTTTCCGGACTCTCAACATCCCTTTAGCTTTTGATATGATTTAGGGTTTCAGTGAAGAGGAGAAGAGATCCAACTTATTCTGGCCAGTGCAGTAATTCTAATGTGAGGCGCATGCGCACGGCGTACCACAACATCAAAAGGAGCAGTGGTTGCTGCTGGAGATGGAGCAAATTTCCTTGCCCAAAAAAAAAAAAAAAATTAAAGGGGAAGAAGGAAATGCATTATTTTTAAAAAGTCATCCCACAGGAGGATCAAGTGTATTTTTTGTCTTTTTGTCAATATATTACAATCTAATATAAACTGCAGCAAGCAGGGAAGTTTCAGGAGTTGCAGGGTACAGCAGTTTTGCAACCTAGCTTAAAGGGGGGCGGGCATGTGCAGGATCCGATTAGAAACAGAGGGAAAAAGAGGTTTAAAAGAAACTGGGGATGCAAATCGTGCATACCGTGCGAGAGGCAGACGCGGGGGGTAGCTTAACTTTACGCTCCCCGGAAACATCAGTCTACGTGGAGAAAGGTGAGGGGCAGAAAAAGGGACCTAGATTTGCAAGGCGGGGGGGGGGGGGGGGAGAGGGTTGAGCCTATGGTAATCTTCCTGGGGGAAAATGAAATGATGACGAACCAGGTTCTTGTAAGAAGGGATTCGGATGCTTCCTACTCTCCTGGCAGGAGCTGTTCCTAGGTCAGAGGAATTGGGGAGGGGAGAGAGGGACTCGCTTTATGACGTTACCAGCCAGGCAATTCTCGAGATTATTTATAACATTAAAAAGGGTGGCAATTACAACGAACGTCTCCCTTTTATGTTTCCATTGTATTTTAGCGTGGCTCCTAAAGCGTACAGCAATGGCTGGCAAGGATGGGCAAGTGTGGGGAGGCTGGGGGGGAGGGGATCATGCTATTTTCCCCTTTAGCAAGGAATGCAAATTCCTCAGGTAGATTTAGCCCTGGCTACGGAATGGGGTCGGGGAGCGGGATATCCTGCAAAGAAAACTGGGCTTTTAGTGACCATTCCATACCCGGTGCATTTCCACTCACAGACCCTCCTTACCTTTCTGAGTAAAACACCAGAGCTGCTGAAATGCAGTGTTGGGCCGAATTAATGCTTCAGAAGAAAGCAGAGACGAGCAGAAAACTGATTTGAGGATGTTTTGAGTGACATTTAAATCCTGAGCAGAAGAGAGAGAGGGAGGAGGGAGGGGGGGGGAAAGAGAGGACTTAAATTATTCCTTGCAAATCTGCCCGCTGCTGTAGCTCCTTTTACACCTCCTCCTCCAAATACCCATTTGGACCCGTGGATCTGTGTTGCTTCATTGAACGGATCTGGGGTGTGCACGCGTCTTCGCCTTCCCTGGATTGCACAGGGAAGGGAATTAGGCAGAGCCACTTAATTCCTCAGTTCACAACAGCAATATTTAATTCGCTGCAAGGGGAAGGAAGGCAGGGAGGGAGGGAGGAGGAAGGCAACGAGGGTGAGTGTTGCACAGAGAGAGAGAGAGAGAGAGAGAGATGCGAACCGTGGCTAAGGAAGAGACGCTTTGAAAGCCTCCGATTTCCCCTCAATAAACGTTTAGTCATTCCACTCACAGCAAATGACAGGAGCTCCAGGCCTGCTAAATCCCCCCTCCCCCCAAAGGGGAATGGTTTAAAACCTCATGCCCCCCTTCTCCACAGACCAAAGCCCGTTGCCTGGTGAAAGGCCATTTCACATGCATGCATATCACGGTCACCAAACAAACAAACCCCTCCGATCGCCTGGACAAGGGATTTTTTTTTAGACGTATGGATATATTTTATAAACTGAAGCAAGAGGTAGCTGAGCCCCGCGTGAAGAGGCAGAGCACAGTCCCCGGCCTCCCTGGGCATGCACTGCATTTAAAAACCAACCCCACTGGCTGGCTGGAGGTGCAGCAGTGAGAATAGCAGAGCTGCGGCTGCACCGTGCGCCAGCCAGCTGTAGCCAAACTGGAGTGGCCCCCAGACCCGGCTAGGTCCACGTGACGCCAGGCAACATGCGAATCCCGGCAGTGGGTCCCGGTAGCACGGGTTGCTCTTGGCAGATTGCTGGGAGGGGAGCCTCGCTCCCGCTCCTTTCCCCAAACCAACTGGGGCACGAGCGAGAAGGGCTGGGTGGGGGCTCGAGGAAGAGCACCCGAGCAAATAAGATGCATGGGAAGAGGGTGCAACTGAGGTGGCATGGTATGGGAAATGGGTGCAGTTGAGGAGAGGGATTATAGGCAGTGAGTGCAGCTGTCCGAGGAAACAATGGCGAGGGGCTACAGGAAGGTGCATGGGAAGGGGGTGCACATAAGGAGGGGCATGGACCAAGAGTGCAAATAAGCTGGCCTTGATTGCAGGCAGATGGTAAAAGCACAGATACTTTGTGGGAGAAGGGGTGCAGTTTAGAAGACCTTGAAGAAAGAGCAAGGATGCAAAGGAGGAAAAGCTGAATACATGAGACATAGATGTAAAGCCCAGCATCCATTTAACAAAATTCTGCAGGTGTGTTTAAAAAAAATGCAATCAAAGTTCATATATTGAAGGTTAGTGAGTGGGAAGGATCAGAGTCAAATCTTGTAGGGGGTCAAAATGTCTTCCACCTGCCCTTCAAAATATTCCTTAGGTAACACAGATACCAGTTTACCACAGTCTAGTGCATTCCACAGGCAACACATGCAGATCTACCTGTCTGCTACACTCTCACAGTAAATCATATTTATAGGAAATAGGTAGGGTTGAGCAGCCTACCACCACAACCCTCAAATGTCATCCCCAACAAAGTAAGCCTTTTTATGAGATCTGTGTATTTATTTGGTTTTGGTTCCTCTGAAAAATATTAGACTCAAATTATTTTTGAAGGGCCAGAGTAGGGAAAAAAGAGGTAATATGCTTGCTAAGAGGACTGAGACTCTTTTCTATTATGGCAGTTGGAGTTATGGTATAAGGAGAATTCATACATATGAACATTACAAGGTTAACAGGCTAGAAGAGTTTTCAGGAGCTCTGAAATGTCTTATTTATGTATTCTAAAAATAATCACGCTTGAGTAAAAAAATTTTTTAGCAATTTGTCACACTGCAATGCCCCTTTTTTTTGCTGTTCAAGATTGAGAAATAGGATTTTTTTAGGGCATGATGGATGCTATGTTAACCAACGAAGGTATCTGTTCTCTCACAGCTGGGATGCTTCACTTTCAAAGCATTTGAAAAATGGCCCTCAAAGCAGGTGGTGGACATTCATTTGTACAATTAATCTTGTATTGTTAAGATATATGTATGATATGCATTTCTTTTTTTCTGCAACCACATGATAAAACCTGCAGTCTGGTAGTAAAAGGCATTGATTGTGCACTTTTGTTCTCACCCATAAGGATTTACGTTGGAACCGCATCTGACATTTCAAATTCCTCAGTTATTTTCAGCTCTCTGATATTACTATTATATTGAACTGCTATTAAAATATTTCTTTCTTTCCCATCAAAATGTGAATCAGATAAAAAGAAAGATCTAAGGTCCAGGGTTGGCAATATTCAGTGCTGGATTAGGGAAAGATTTATAGTCTAATACCATGTGACATCAGGGCTAGAAACAAAGGAGTCAAGACATATACAGAAGTGAATATAGTTCTATACGGCAATGTAGATATCTATTCAAATGCCAAAGCTGTGTACAAATGCTAACAGCTCAAAATAGTGACATCCTTACACATAGAAAAGTTTAGTTTGTTTATGAATGTATTTATTATAAATACCAATTTTAAAACAGTGATACAAAACTGTATATAAAAATAAAGTATGGACAAGCAACTAAAAACAAACACTTTACAAAAACAGAAGCTACTTAAGTTTATTTTAAAATCTAAGAACCTGATGACACCATACAGTAACCAGGGGCACAAGATCCCTATGTTCACACTGACTTCAGTGGAAGTTGAGGGTGCACTGTACCCCATGGGATCAGGCCCTAAAGCAAGTTGGCCTTTCTATTGATGTAGAAACTGCACTGTGATGACCACCTCCTCCTCATATGCAGACATCAGAGCTCGATGTCCAGGTTCCATATCCAGAAGATAAGATCTGTATCAAGGGAGACTAAGCATTACAAACTGCCATCCAGACGTGCCCCACAGTCACATGAATAGGAAACCCAGCCAGTCAGGTGCATAGTTGTGGCTACTCTGGACAATCCAGACAGTAGCCTGTTGAGCTAATCGGGGGCACCCCCAAACAGCTGTTTGGCCACACCACCAAACAGCTGATCAGCAGCCGCCGCCAAACAGCTGTTTGGCGACTCCAGGAGGGGTTGGGGGAGGTTGGAGAGCAGCGGAGGGTGGGCAGGGGCCTTGGGGAAGGGAAGGAGTGCAGACAGGAAGAGGCGGAGTGAGGCTGGGGCTTTGGAGAGGGGGTGGGGCAAGGGCGAGGCCTCGGGGGAAGGGGCAGAGTGGGGGCAGGGCCTCGGGGTGGAACACCCCCGGGGAAAACTAGAAGTTGGTGTCTATGCTGCACTAATAATATGAGTGGCCAAATTCAGCTCCATGTTGACAAGCTGAGTATGGTGACTGCACCCCCAGACCATAGATCACTATTCAGCTAGAGCAAACATGAGGGTCACTACAGATGTAGGGTTTGCTCCCCAGGAGATTCCTGATAGTTTTTGTATCAAGGTGGAACAGGAAGAGATATTATTTTCAGATGCTCATTTTCAAGTGAGGCCAGTACCATCAGGCTATGGTTGAGTTTTGCTCCTGACAACTTTTGCAGTGACAACTGGTTGGAATGGCAGCAACCATCCCTGTGCACAGATCAAAATGGGTCAGTTGGCAAGATTATTGTTTAGATTGAAAGTAGTTGCAACTGTCTTGGTTTCACTAAGAATTAGTGGAAATAAGTGGTCAAAATGTCCACGTCTTGACTGAGATTCACTTCAATCCTATAGTTTCCTGTGTCAGCAATACAGACATCAGCAGCATACACATACTTCTCAGCCCACGTTCCAGGAAGGTCATATGTTTACATATTGAACAA